GGGGTAGTGGCAGGGACTGGATGGTCTTAGTAAGAACCTGGCTGGAGTCTGGGGACCAAGAAGAAGCCTGGTGGATCCAAACTTGCTGGCCTTGACCCAAAGAGGGGCAGGGATCTGGAGGAAGTGAGGGGAAGGATGGGCAGAAAGAGGGGGCAGCAGGGCCATGATGCCTGACCTTGGGCTTGACTCCCAAGAGCTACTTGGGGAAGAGGGGAAAGGGTGGAGAAGACTGTGAAGGGTGGTTTAACCAGGTCTGATAAGAGGTGGGGGGAGGAGCTGAACTCCAGCCAATCTGCTGGAGTATGTGTATGTGCGTATGTGTCCATTTGCCTGTGTGTGTGTGTGTGTGTGTGTGTGTGTGTGTGCATGCCTGTGTGCACTTTTGTGTACGCACACAAGCACACATGCTGTTTCTCTCGCAGGGCTGCTGAGGTCAAGGGGCAGCATTGTCCTAGGCCCAGAGGTATGGCCTTCTGGGCTGTGCTCTGTCGTGGTCATGGGGTGGGGGAGGGACAGCTTTGCCTACACTATTTAAATTAATCCACATGAGTGTCTGAGGGAGGTAGGAAGAGTCCCCTTTGTAGAGGAAGAGGCTGAGACTGAAGTGGCTTGCCCAGCCAGTCAGTGGCAGAGCCAGCATGTGAACTGGGGTCTGGCTAACTCCTGAGCTCCTCTCCTGCTTTGTGCTGTCATTTCAGATGCCCTTGGGGTAACGTTCAGATGCACAATTGAGAAATAGCACCAGAACCCAAATGGGGCAGTAGGGATCAGGAGGGGAGTTGGTAGGGCTCGGCCTTCGCCCCTGAAGACCCCTCAGCAGGGCTGGCAGGGCCCGACCATCCTCCCAGAGGCCCTGAGCTGGAGCTGGAGCTGGACCCAAGCCCAACCCAACAGGACAAGCGCTAGTTAGAGACAGCTCTATAGGCTGTGCAGTCTGAGGGCGAGACTCTCACTTGCTCCAAAGGCCACAGGGAAGTGAGTGTCTCCATGGCTACCCTGGTCACCAGGTCCCAGGCCAAATACCCCTGTGCTGGGGCCCTTCCTGGACTCTGACCACAGAGTCACACCCTCATCTGCTCATCCTGGGTCTGCTGTGGGCCAGCCTGGCCTGCTGGGGATGGAAGGACTCACTGCGGACGAGGACTTTGGCGAAGGAGGAGGCCTGGCCGTAGGTGTTCTTCACCTTCACCGTGTAGGTGGCTGTGTCATCCACGGTGCATCTGAAAAGGAGAGAGGGAGAAGTGCCCCCAAGACTGCTGGGCTGCATGGGAAACTTGAGTGGACCTCAGAGGGGAGACTTTAGGCTCTGGCTCAGGCTCCACCTCTGAGAAGCTGTGTGCCTTTGGGCTGGCTCCTCCTCTCTGTGCCTCAGTGTCTACCTCTGAGAAACTGGAGACATGACGCCTGCCTAACGCACCTCAGGTGAAAGTACTCTGAAAGTACGATTGTTATTACTGACTCTGCAGGATTAGAGAGGTTAGGTGCTTTGCCCAGAGTCACACAGCAACTGGAACTCAACCCAGCTTTCAGGCAAAAAGCCCTCCCCCAGGCATGGCCTCCCGCCCTATCAACACCTCCAGATCAGAAGCCTGGGGCAGGCGCAGGGCACAGGCTTGCCGGAGACACGCTGCCAGCCCGTGCCAGAACTGGGCCAGATGCCCAGGTGCTCTCAATCTCAGGCCCAGGCCTCCCCACCATCCAGGCCAACACTGTCATCTTCCCAGGGGAGGGTTGGGCCAGCTCCATCCCAGAGGCACATTAGTGACCAAGAGAGTAGTTGGCAGGATGTGGCACACCGGCAAGCAGAGAGGTCCTTTGGTGCCCCCTCTCTTCCCCTGGCTGCTCAGGGCAGGGATCCCTTTTATTTTAAGGGCCAGTCCCACCTGCCTCTACAAGCACCCTCCGGGACTGCATGCCTTCCCTGACTGCACAGCCCACAGAACACCTCCCTTTGTAGCATTGTGTGGCCAGGTGTTGATGTCCACGTCCCTACACTGCTTCTGGCTGGTAGGATCAATGTCCTGTTCATATTTGCGTCTCTGAAGCCCAAGTTGGTTGAAGTGAAGGGTTTGTTGTATTGGGGAGAACCCAGGTGGAGAGAACTGGCTCAAACCCAGGCCCTGCCCTGTCAAAGCTGTGCAAGACCCTTGACTTCTCGCAGCCCCTGTTTCCTCGCCTGCAACAAGGCTTCCCTGCAGGAACAGTGGTGGGCGGTGTCGACCGAATGTGTACAGCGCCCAGCACAGGGCTTGGAGCTGGGAGAAATGTAACATGTGGCAGCTCGTAACATATAGTTTGGGGACTGCGCTTTCCTGCCTCCCTCCACACACATGGCCTCTTCCTGCAAAACCATGCTTAAGACTCAGCATCTCCTGAAAGCCTTACTCTCCCTTCCAACTGCTTCCCTGTGCACTTGTGTGTGTGTGCATGCCAGTGCATGCACGTGTGTGTGTGTGTGTGTGTGTGTGTGTTTGTGTGTGTGTGAGGATTTGTGTTTTCTCTTCCCCAGCAAGGAGCTCTCCCAACTTGCCTAGCTCAGCATTCAGTCCTAGCTGCTAGCCTCTGGGTCCACTTTTCTCACTGAGTATTCCAAGGGAATACCACGTGAACCCCATGGGAGTGTGTGTTACAACTGATTTCTGGGACCCAATCCAGACCTATTTAATCTGAATCTCTGGGAGCAAAGGAAGGGTCCTCCCGCGAATTGATATTTGAACAAGCAGCCCAGACACTTCTGAAGAGGCAGCCCACTCGGAAACAGCTTCGAGGAAGGGTTGGGAATCCTGCTCTGGCTTCAGGGGTATTGGGGCCTAGGGACTGTGGGTTTCTCCAGGGCTCACAGTCTCACCTCCTAATCTCCAGGGTCAGCAGCCCGTAGTTGTTGGTGATTCGGTACTTTCCGGGAGGGAAGAGGCGCGGATCGATTTGCATGTCATTTTTGTACCTGTGGAGACACAGTACAGTGGTCTGTGGCAGGCAGTGTCATTCTGGCAGGAAGGATTCGGAGCCTCTTGGATCTGGGTTCCAACCTCAGCTTTGTGCTACTTACTCACTTATGTGACCCAGGGCAGCACTTTCACTGCTCTGAACCTCAGTTGTTCTCATCTGTGAAATGGGTGTGAGAATGGAACCAACCTTGTAGGGTTGTTGTACTGATTAAATGGGATAAGATATGGAAAGCGATGCTCACAAGTTCATTCCCCTCCTGGGTGGCAGAGAAGAGGGAGCCTGTAACTAGGAATAGCTGCTCCTCCCCAGATTTTCCCTCCTCTGAGGTGGGTGGCCAAGGAAGGCACCCCCATCCCTACCTCCCTGTTGACCCCTCAGGACAGCAGTTCTTTCTCTTGGCTCTTGTTAGAATCACCAGAGGAAGCTTTAAAAATCTCCATGCCCAGATTTTAAACATAAGCCTTTGGGAATCTGCATCAGAAACTGCTAATTACACCTCTAGGGATTCTCCTCTTATGCTAAAGGAATAGAACTCATCACGGAGCCACTAAATACTAACTTTTCTAGCCTCTCTTTCTGCCAGGTGTAGCCATGTGGCTAAGTATTGCCAACAGAAAGCAAGATGAGTCTCACGTGGTTGCTCCCGCCCCTTTTCACGTCCTTTCCTGCCACCCGAGGCAGGACATGGCCGTGATGCCGCCATCTCGCATAGGGAAGACCAGGCCTGATCCCCGAGTGACCCGTGAGCAGAGCTGCCACAGCAGCCCACCCTATCTACATCAGACGCTTACATGAAGGAAAAATAAACTATCTTGTTTAAACCATTAAAAAACCTCCATGCCCAGGCTGCAACCCAGAATTAAAATCAGAACTCCTGGAGGTGGGACCTGGGCATCGAAATTTTTTCAGCTCTCAGGAGATTCCCAAGGGTGGGCCAGCCGATTATCCTCTGCTCCTGGATACCACTGCTATTTCCTGTGAACACTGGGGTCCTGTTCTCCCTGCTGGGGCTCTGGACAGTGAGATGGTCTTGCCTCTGTCCATGGTCCATTGAGGGAGGTCTGGAGCCTGAGGAGTCAAGGCTGGCAAATGAAAGTCTGTGAAAATTATGAGGCTTTGACACATATTGCTGTGTGACCTTGGGCAAGTCAGTCTCCTCTCTGGGCCTCTGAGTCGAAGCTATTGCATGAACAGACTGTCCCAGGAGTGACTGCAGTTGAAGAGCAGGCCTCAGCCGATAGAGGGCACCTCGGCCTTCCTTGGACTTGGCTCCCACACCCCATGCCCTGTTTGTCTCCGTGGCAACCAAACAGTGCCAGGCCCACATTCCACCACAAAAACCCCAGGCTACACCCTCTTCTGAAACGAGCCCAACTAGGTCTTCTGTGGGGAGGGCAGTGCCTAATCTGGATGCCTAATCTCTGCACTTCTCCCAGGCTTGGGGGCCAAGGTCAGGCCCCCTCACCACCACCACTTATCAGGAACATTCCAGACACCTCAGCCTGGCCAGCTTTGGGAATGACCTGGACCTCCAGGGACCTCAGTGCTCATCTCGTTCTCTCTCTGGGCTTCTCCTACCTGTACAGTGGGCTCTCGTTGGCATGGGCTGTGCTGATGATCCTAAGTGGCAGCCAATCATAAAATTGCCTTAAATGAGACAGTGAGGCCAGGCACCCAGCCCAGAGTCTGGCTTGGAGATGGCCACATAAAAGGGTGAGATTTTTATTATTTATCTAAATTAATTTTTTCCTTACATACTTTGGTGTTAGATTTTCATTTTTTAGGCTGCCTGGCCTAGGAGATTGATTCTGACATCAGGTAAAATCACATCCAGGGCCTACTTCTGCAGCATCAACATGGCCAGACTAGAGCCTTGCCCCACCTGCCCTGTTGTTGCTCCTGCATTCAGCAAGTGCTCAATAATTGCTGAATGAAGGACTTGTCTCACAGCCTGGTGGTCCAGGATCTTCCTCCTGACCTGGGGGCTGGGTCTACTCTGGGGCCTGGACAGAGCTCTGGAAGCCAGTCCCAGGATGACACGTGGTCCTCCTGAAGGTGATTGATGATGGAAAACCAGCCCTCAAAGCCAGGAGCCACAGAGGCCACCAGAGTCCCTCCAGCTGGAGGTGGGCCTGGCCTGGGCTCCCACCTCTTACAGGGAATGCTCTATTGTGGCAACCTTGCCCTGTTGTGGTGACATTACTGGCACGGGTGGAAATGAGTCCCTTGTCAAGAGGCTCCCACAGAATGTCTCAGATGTGGGCCTCGGTGCCAGGGCAGGGCAGGGCTGCTTGCCAGGCCAGCTGAGGTACTGACCCCCACTTAGCCCAGCCAGCTGTCGGGAGCAGTCCTCCCACTGAACCAGAAACTTGTAGGCAGGGACTACTTTGGACCCCACAACATTTCAGTGCCCGGCCTGGCACACTTGTTGGAATGAATGCCATCTGGCAATGGCCAGCCCCAGTGTCAACACCCTGGAGATGCCTTTCTTGATTGCTCCTGGCTTAAGTGTGTTCTAATTCTCTGACTTCTGAAGCATTATGTATGCTTTAAGGTAAAAAAACTACACAAAACAAAACTAGAATTATGACTTTCCCACTCTCTAGGCCAGTGGGAAGAGCTATGGGCTGGGAGGCAAAAGCCCCGAGTTTGAATCCTAGGTCACACTGCCTCTCTGAGCCTTGATATCACCACCTGTGAAATGGAGATAATATTCCCTACCTCATGGGTGGCCCTGAGGCTCAAATGAGAGAAAAGCGCTGGGTCTGTTTAAGCGGGTTCAGGTATTAGATCTTGCCTTTTCCTTTGCGACCTCGGTTTCTGTGTGCTTATCTTCTCTCTCCTACTAGACCATGGGCTAGTCACTTTCTCTGAGAAGCCTTCCTGGATCCTCCAGGTGGAGGCAGCCACTTCCTCCTCTCCACCTCCGCTCTTTTACCTCAAATGTCACCCATGACTATATTTCTCTGCGTGTTGACTTTTCTCTTCTGGGTTGACAGTTTCTCAAGTTGAGGCCGTGTCTGAGTCATTTCTACACCACAGTGTCTGAGTCAGGGCCTGGGACAGATTATATTTCTTGTAAATAATGGTTGAAATCCCTTCCTCGTCTCCCAGCGTGGCTGATAATGGGCCTTACACTCAGGGGAACTCAAGAAGCAGTGGGTTCAGCTGTGTGAACGACACGCCTCCCTCGGGGTAGAACTGAGACCCGGACATGGCCCCGCCCACCCCCACCTCCACCAAGCTTGTTAAGAGACACCTGCCACCTCCCCAGGAATGCTATCTCCTGCTTTTCAAGCACCTTTCAAGTTCCGAGAGCTTTCCCATTATTGTGGCATTAAGTCCTCACCACATGCAAGGGGGGCAGGAGGTCTTCAACCCATTTTACAGAATAGGAAACTAAGGCAGGCCTGGAGAGGTTAAGAGATGTAGCTGAGATCACACAGTGAGTTAGTAAAGAGAGAGAGAGAGAGAGAGAGAGAGAGAGCTCGAGGCCTGGAGCGTAGGGCTCCCACTCCAGGCCTGAGCTCTTTCTCACTGTAGGGCCCCTGCCCTCCCCACCTCCTCTCCTGCCCCCCTGCCCCCTGCCCTGCCTCCCACCATCATCCTCCAACCCTGGAGATACCCAGCTGGGAGCAGCTGCCTTCCCACGCCACCAGCATCAGATTTTTACGAGGGCTGGCTCCCCGGTGGCCCTGTCTTCTAGCCCCAGGCTGGCGGGGAGGCAGCTAAAAATAACCGCTCCTGAGCCTCCCCAGCAGCTGCTGCTCTGTTTGGGTGGTGGGCAGAGCCCCGGGTCTGTGGGGCTGCAGCTTTTCTAAGGCAGCAGGAGCTTCCGGGGCAGGGACTGGCCCCTTGGGCTGGAAGGAACTCACGCCCAGTACCCACAGAGGCAAGGCGAGCACCCTTCTCTCCTGCCCCAGTGGCTTACCAGGTGACGTGGGGTGGAGGCGAGGCCTGGATGGTGCAGGTCAGCAGGACCGTGGTGCGCTCCCAGACAGCGTGGGAACGCAGTGGGATCCAGAACCAGGGCGCCCGGCCAGAACACAGCTCCCGCAGCTCTTTGGCCTCCCGAACCTTCTCCTCCGTCTGGAGGCAGGAGAAGGTCTGTGACTCCTACGAGCCAGGGCACCAACTCTCCCCATCTTCAGGGACACCTTTCCCCGTGACACCCAGGCTCTGGAGTCAGACCCACGTGATCGGGAGCCCCTTCAGCAGCATCTGAGAGGCAGTGTGGCCCAGAGGGCAGACCATGGGTTTTGGAATCAGCTGGCCTGGGGTCAAGGCCTAACTGCCACTTAGATCTGTGAGACCATAGACAAGTCCTTAGGCTTCTCTTCTGTAAAATGGAAATGATAATAATACACCCCCCACCACCACCCTCCTGTGGGGCCGTAATGAGGATTCAATGAGCTAATATGTGAAAAGCATGGGTGTTGTTCTCCTGCCCAGGGAGGGGGTAAGGAGCGTGGCTTCAGATCCCTGACATTCGTCAGGATTAGCACTTCCTGAGGGTCTGCTGAGTTCTGGGCTCCGGGAGAATGACTTTAGAAGCCCAAGCTCATTTAATTCACATCTCCACACTGAGAGCTGGTACAACCACATGCATCTATTTTGCAGGTAAGGAAACCGAGCCTCAGGAGGAATCAGTTGCTTGCCTAAGGTCACAGGGCTGGGGGTGAGGGCACCGGGATTCAAACCCGGGTCAACATCAGGGTCTGGGTTCTTTCCTGGTGTCCAACTGCTTCTTGAGAAGGGGGTAGAGTGAGGTGCGTGGCCTGGGATGGGTCCCAGGTCTCTGGTCCCTGGGGCTCCCCAGCCCACCCCCCTCACCCTCCGCCTCAGCGCCTTCCAATCGCGGCTCTGGCGCAGCAGCCATTGGGTCCGTAGGTAGGCGATGTCCGTCCTCTCCAAGTCATTGCCGAAGCCCACCCGCTTCTGCCCTCGCTCCTCCAGCTCCACGGTGGAGGTCTGGCGCCTCAGCTGGGCCTCCCTGTGGCGACAGAGGACATCAGTGGCTGAGAACCTAGGGTTGGCTGGGGTGGCAATGCCATCCGCGCACCCAGCATTGCCACCTGTATTTTAAGCTTCTTGAGGACAAGAGTAACTCAGTCCTCTCTTGCCTCCAAAATACCCTGAGTGGGTCCTGCTTAACACAGTAGGTACATAATAACTACTCTCAGTATGGTTTGCAAGGCTCCTTCACAGATCATTAATTTTTCCTCCGGTTTTCACTACACCCAAGTGGACAGGCATTAGTCCTGCCATTTTACAGGAGCGATACCCCGAGGCTCAGTGACTTGCTTCAGGCCAGCCAGGACCAGGACCTAGGCCTCCCAGCCCAGGACGAGGCCGCCTGATGTTCTCACGCTCAGGCCCCTTTCCAGTCTTGGGACTCGTGTCCGAAACTTGGGGCTGATTTACTAGCTTCTCCTCTCCCCAGCCCCTCCCATACCATGTGCAGCAGGCTGGGGAAGGGTGGGGGGTCCCTCTCTCAGGGATGGCCCCTCACTACTGCCTGTGGATTCAGGGCCCCAAGGTGGGCCTTGTGGTCAGAGAGCCCTGGGCTTTGACTTTGGTCTAGCCCCTTAGTCTAGATGTGTCACTTCAGGCAGCTTCTTTAAGCTCACTGTGGGAGCCCAGCAGGGAGGCAGGGGACTGGGAGGATGGCCCAGCCCAGGGCTCTCAGGAGGTCACTTGACTTACCACGACATCTCGGAGGAGGCCGTCAGAGCCAAGGCGGCTGCGAGGGCGCGGTCTGCGGCGCTGAACTGGTATTCCTCCTCGCTGCGCAGAGAAGAGAGGCCATGGCTCCTGCGGGTGTGGCTGGGGCTCTGGCTGGGGCTCCCTGGGCTTAGGGCTGCATCGACCCACCTCAGCCTCCCTCCTCAAACCGGGGTCTCAGGAAGCAGGGCCATGCCTTCCCCCTCAGACTGGAGCCTCCAGAGGACAGAGCTGTGCCTCCCCCTCAGACTGGGGACCGGGGGTAGGGCAGTGGCCGGGGTGGGGTCCCCAGTGCTCCCACCTGCTGCGGAAGGTCCGCCTCTGCACCGAGGATCCCATGTGCAGGCTGTGCTGCCGCCGCTCCTTCTGTTCCTCCTCGTGGCGGCGTTCCAGCCTGTGCACCTCCACGGCCTGGGGGGGCTGGGGCTCCCCCACATTTCCAGGGCTGTGGGGCAGAGTCATGGCTGCGAGAACCACAACCTGCCAAGCCAAGGTTGCACAGTCACTCCACCAGGCGTGGGCCCATCCCTTCCCCGTGCGGTCCCAGCATCTCTGGGAGGTTTGTGGGGTGGCAGGGTGGGGGCTCTCTCTCCAGCGGGCAGACAGGGGAATGGAGGCCTGAGAGGGAGAGGAACTTGCCCAAGGTGACGGAGGCCGACTTCGTGCTCTGAGCCTGGCTTATCCACCACCCCAAGTGTTCCCCAGCTGAGGGAGCAGAGCCCCACTTTGGGGATCAGGCTTCCAGCTGCCCCCCTGTCCTTGCCTCACTGTGTGACCTGGGGTAAGGCCTTGCCTTCCCTGGGCCCCAGCTTCCCAGATGACTGATCACTGTGATGTCAAGGGCTGTTCTATACTCAAGATGGGCAGCTGTCCTTACTCTTCCTGCGTATGCCACAGGCAGTCCTGCCTCTGAGCCTTTGCCTGGGGTGGTCTCCTCACTGGGAGAACCTTCTCCCCCTGGCTTGCTTTTCTACTCATGCTTCAAAGCCCAACCTGAGCATGCTCATGAGCACACAGGTGCAGCATGGGGACTCCAGGGCCAACCTCCTAACTGTGATCCCAGCTTCTCATTCCAGTTTACAAGTGTGTGACCTTGGGCAAGACTCCATGACTTGGTTTCCTCATCTATAAAATGGGTCTATCAACCTCTCAGGGGGGGTTGTAAAGGGTTGATGTGTACCTGGCGCATAGTAGGTACTATATAAGCGATAGACTTTAACGTTATTTTTCTAAGTGCTGTCGAAAAACTACAGGCCATCTAAAATTTTCCCTCCTCTGATTCATTTTGTACTTTGTATCTGGACTTCACAATTTAGCTCTGATTCAAAAAATGCCTCCTTTTGCGATTTAATTATTTCATATCTGTGCACCTCGACCTTCGACAAGGTTGTAAATGAATTAAAAGTCACAACAGCATGTGCTCACTGTGAGCTGTATATTAGTTTTCAGATGCATTATCCCCTGTCCCTGCAATAACTCAAATGACACAGCACTGCTATCCTCCCACTTTACCTATGAGGAGGGGAAGTACTTGCTCAAGGCCACACAGAGGGCTGGTGGTGGGGCCATGGCTGGCACCAGGTCTCCCCAAGTCTGAGCTCTCCTGACCTCTACACTACACATCTACTCAGGGCCAGGCCTTGGCTAAGGCTGGGGCGACATAGCCTTTCTTCTCATAAGGGGGTCACAAAGGAGGGGGTCCTCCCTTGTATTCCTGAGGAGCAGGTCTGGGCCCCCAGGTGGTGCCCAGTAGGGTTGGATCAGATTGGTCTGGAAGAGGCTCAGGGATCAGGGAGTGAATCTTGGAGATGGAGGCGAGGGGAGTGGAGGCCCCAGAGCTAGGAGTTTTGGGTTCTTGCAGTAAGTCCTCTCCCAGATGCTGAAGCTCTAGGATGTTTGGTGGAGTCCACAGAATGGCTTTGACACCTCCTCTAGGTAGGAATTCTGGGGGCAGGCCTCTGACCTGGGAGGGTACTTGTGCACTTGGACCTGATACAGACCCTGGACATGAAGAAGGAAGCAGAAGAGACTGGCATTCAGCCCTGACCTGCGTGTGTATTGTGTTCACACCTGGGTATGTGGGTGACCATTTCTCTAAGTTCATGGCATGGCAGGTGGGCCCGCTAGCCTCATCAGAGATCCTTGGCCTGGAGGGCCTGTTATGGGGTGTCAGGGGGCTCAGGCTGCCAAATGTCAATCTTGTTGGGCACTTATTGACTCCTTCCAGTGTCTGAAAGTTTCCTCTGTTTGCATGTCCACAAAGAACGCCCAAGAGAGACTGGTCACTGAGGGGAGTTGGTCAGGACCAAGGGCTGCCCTCGAAGCTTCCTTGGCCTCGTGCCATGTCCTCATTTGAACATAACAGGACAGCCACCCCTTGGGTTCCCATGTGGTCACTCCCGAGGAAGAGCATCTGCCTGTACCCAAAGAATGGCCCTGCTCACAGCCCAAGAGGAGAGCTGCTGGGTACCACCCTAGACAGGGGAGGCCCCCAGCTTTCCTGGGACGCCGTGTGCCCTGGCCCCAACAGCTGAGGGTTAACGTTCCCTGGCGTCAGGGGCTGGCTGCCTTCCCCATGCTCTGTCCCAATTAGCACAGTGAGTGGGCCTGGCGCTCATCCCTGACCTCCTGGGCCTCCCCGAAACCAGACCCCCGTCTTTAGCGGATGAGCCATCGGTTCTTTTTAAAGCGCTGACTGAGGCTCGGGATTAAGCACCAAGAGCGCAGCCTCCTCTGCCCTCTTCCCAGACGCTGTGTGTGCCCGGTGGAGGGGTCAGCAGGGTGAGGGCCAGGTGAGAAAACCGCCCCTTGCCCTCTCCTGGGGGTGCAAAGCCCTGGGCTAGAGGTCCTGCCATGTGGCCACTTTCCTCCCAAGTCTCAGCCTGTTTTTGCACCAGGCACAGGAGTATGAAGGGTCAAGACAGCCTCTCCCCCCCACCCCAGGAGGGAAGGAGGTGCGTGGAGGCTTCTAGCAGGATCCTGTGGGCGGAGCAGAGACAGCCTGTCCAGTCTTTCTGCTGTGGCTCCGCCAGCTTCCAAGAGGCAGGAATTCTGACCCTGCCACGGAGGAACTGAGACCATTTCTGCCCTGTCGGGGCCTCAGTTTCCTGCCAGTGATCCCAGGCTGGATGAGGGCTTGCTCTCTTTCCCTGTCACTCGGGTCTGTCAAGCAGGACCTGGACAGCACTGCTTAGGTTTGCTGGACCTGCCAGCTCACCCTGTCCCTGCCGATCTGGCTCCACTGCAGGAAAGCCTCCACTTCCCCGGTACCCCCAGGTGTCTTTTTTTTATTTTTCAGCTTTCTCATCGTAGAGGGCTTAGCTTGGAAGACCCAGGATCACACAACAGTGGGATGAAAAGAGATTTCTAGGCTCCCATTTTCATTTGGGTGCCTAGGCATATGCCTACCTTCTCTTTCCAAACCTCCCAGGCAACTCCTTTTCCAGCACACACACACACGCACACAGGCACACACGCACACACGCACACAGGGAAGCGAGGGTCTCACTCCCTGGAGGTATCCCTCTCCACCCTGATCCCTGGAGGTGACTCACAGAAGCAGCCGTGTCCACTTGGGCGTCTCTGGTGAGAAGATTCCAGAGGACGAGAGGATCCTTGGTCCCTTCGTGCCCTGGGCTCAGCGGGGAAGGGGGAAGAATGCGGTCCTGGAGCCTGTGTGGGCCTTAAATATAGCAGCGCTGAGACAGTGATGACAATGGATGCGGGCTATGGGGGGGTGAGGGAGGGGCTGTTCGCTCCGTCCAGCATTGCTCAGCGGCAGCAACAGGTGGAGCTGTCCCCACCCCACTCCTCCTCCCCTCAGCTGGGCCCCTTTCCCCACCTCCAGCCCCCATGAAAGAGGAAAGAAGGCAGCAGCTCAGGCTTGGTTGTACGGGACGCGGAGAAGGGTGGTTTCCCAGCTGCCGAGACTTCTGGCCTGAATTCTGCCCCCACTGACCGGTGCCTTGGGGAGGACCCAGCTCCTCTGATCTGATTCAAATGGAGATAGTGAGACTGGGCACCCAGGCTTCATGAAGACAGTGGAAGGCATGTGACTTAAGATGCGTCTTTAGCGCTCAGAAGTTGTAACTGGTTAAAATGGAAGTATGTGGCACTGCCCCAGCCCCTGTGCGGCCACGGTCCTGTGTGGGGACATGCACAGGCAGGAGGGGAGTGGGGATGCCATCTTTCCTTCACTGTCTAAATCCCTCGGGCTTCCGGAGTGGCCGCCGGGGGACCCTTCTTCCAAAGCTTTGCCGCACCCCTCCCCCATCTCAGTTCTTTTTCCCTCGCGTTGGTCATACCCGCCCTTTGCCAGGCCTGGGGGGCATTGAGGATGCGGAATTGAGTAAGGTAAGACCCACGATGTGGAGGCATATAGACCTGGAGACGGTTACAACGGGGGGAGATCAGGAAGGTACCCCTGAGCCAGGTCTCAAGGGATGACCAGGTTTGGGGAAGGCTATGCCAGCTCCAGTCCAGACAGCACAGCTTCCCTCCCTGGCCCTCTCCTGGGGCCTCAGGGGGCCAGAAACACAGCGCCTGTCACTCTTCCTAGTGCCTTGGGACCTCTCACTGGAGAGAGAGAGAGAGAACACACAAGTGATCTCGCAGCCAAAATCTCAGTCTCCTGCCGTCTTTGAAAGCTCCTTTCTAAGCATTCTCCCTTCTCCCTGGTGCAGTGTTAAGAGCATCTTTTGGGGGAAACACTTGGCAGCTCTCTCCCATCTTGCATTGCTAAGGGATTTCCAAGATCCACATTTATACACTGATGGTGAGGGTGGATGTGAATGTGTACCTACAGCAAAGAGGGGTGTGGGCTTCCACTCCAGCAGGAGACACACGTTTAGACTGGTCCTGCAACCCCCTTTCCCCCCAAGGCAGCCTGGTAGATGTGCCACCACTTGCTAACTGTATGACCTTGGCCAAGTCACTTGACCATTCTGGTTTTATTATCTGTACAGTGAGGTCAATGAATCCTGCCTTGCAGCCTGATTGGAAAGATTCATCCAAGAAATGTGGAGCCTGCAGCACAGTGCCCGGCAGCCAACAGACGTTTGCTAAATGAGAGCCCCACTGATAACTGCATGACTCTAGGGATGCCGAGAGCCTTCTCCTACCTGCCCTTTTGGACGTGGGATTCCCATGTACCCCTTTGCTGACCAAACCCCAGTGATGCCCTCACTCCTCACAGAGAGGTCCCAATGTGTCTTATTGTGAACACAGCCAATCTTCAGGTCAGGAGGCTGAGCGGAGGTTAGACTGGGAGTCATGTGAATCTTGGTCTAAATCCCAATCTCTGGTACCTGTACTTTTCAGTGGAGGGACCTGGGCCTTGTTTCTGGGCCTCGGTTTTTTTAATTGGTAAATTGGAGACAAGATCTAAGACAACAGGGAACTTGCCTGCCTGTCGAATTCACTGTATCCCTAACCCCAAAAACAGTGCCTGGCATATAGCCCTTGGTGTCTGCTTGTTTAAAAACGAATGAATAAATGAGTGAACAAATATTTACCTTGCAGAATGGTTATGAGGTCACAATGTGTGCAATGTCTGGTATAGTACCTGTCTCACGGTTAATACTCCTCAAAATATGTCCTTCTTTCTCCCCCTTCCTTGTCTTTTCCCTCTTATTGCCTTCCCTGGACTTATGAACATTTCAGACAGTCCTTTGAACCCCATTTCACCTACCAACCACCATGAACCTCCACACCATTTTTCAGACAGCAACCCAACTGTCTTTGGCTCATGGCTCTCCTGGTGGCCAAGTAGAGAACTGCCGGGCCCAATGCTTTCTCCCACTACCTCCTTCATCCTGTACTTGTCTCCTTTCCCTCCCTGTCTCTCCTGCACTGCAGTTAATTCCGGTTACTGTTCTCCTCAAGCTTCCAGGTTAAAATGGATCTTCCTAATGCCCCTCCATCTGTAGAGTGGGAACGGAAAGTGGGTTCAAGGGGGTTAAGCAGGGGGCTGGGGTCTCAGAGCTGTGTCCCACCAGCATCGCCACCAGCAGGTGAGACGGGGTTGTCTGTACCTCCCCCTCTGTTCCTGCCTCAGCTTATTGTTTTTGTCTATCCCACTTTCTGGAAGGGAGGATAGGGACAGCAAAAGGGACAAGCCTTGATGTTGACATCTGGCTACAGCTTCCTTGTCTAGGTTGACACTCAGACCTGGGAGGGGCAAGAGGGACCTGGTCTCCTGGGACCCTGGAGGAGCTCAAGTCCCATCGGCCCCTATTCTGTGGCTGAAAACTCAGGCAACCCCTTTATGTTTTGGGGGGCTGGAGGTCTGCAGGCAGCACAGATTGAAATATCCTCCAATAGCCCTACCCCCATCCAGGGGTATAATGGGGGTGACTCTAGGGAGATGATTTGAGGCCATGGATAGGGAAACTGTTGATGTAAGGGCTCCATTCCATCAACACATCTGAAGTGAAGCCCTAAAAGTGCTTGTTAAAAAGCCAGATTCCCAGGAGCCATAGATTTAGCAGAAAGGGGCAGGGGAGGCTGGGGAAGTTGTACTTTTATTAAACTCCCAGGGGAGTCTCAGGATGAGACAAGTTTAGGAAACCAACCTGGGCAAGTCACTTCCCTGAGCAACATTCCTCCTTTGCAAATATCAGTAATATAACCTATCTGGAAGGTTAGTGGGGGAAGGTGAGTCATCACCCGCTGAAACTGTGGGGCCACATGGTTGAGTTCTTCTCTGACGACTGCTACTGTTCCTTACTCCTGGGCTTGGCTCCGCCAGGCCTTGGAGGCAGTCACGGCTCAGAGGTTGCAGGTAATGGGTTCAGGGCCTGGGTCACTGAGGAATGCCAAGGTCCCCGCCAGTTCCCTGGGCTTGGGACACTGGCCTCTAGCGGTTCCGGCTGTAACTGCAGGCCTGGGCTGCCCGCCTAGGAGACGGGAGACCAGGGACCCGCCCTGCCCTGCAGCCTGCTGTCTGTCCCTCAGTGGGGACCGGGTCAGCCTGAAGAGGGTCACAGTGCTCAGAGTCATTCACCTCTCTCCTCAGGCACTCCAGCTCCACCCTGTCTGTCACCCTGAGGAGCTTAGAGAGTTTTGTGGCCCTGTGGATTGCCAGCGATGTTTATGGCTTTTAATAGAAACCCTCTGTCTTGCCCTGTCTCACCTGGTGAGAGCAGTCCAGCTGTGGGGCCTGTTTTCATTACTTACCAAGGCGAAGACAGTCAACCTTTGGCCACGTTCGCCCCAAGGGAGAGGAAGTGGACTTGTTTGCAGTGTGGGGAGAGGGGAAGCATTTGTTAACATCGATTTAGTGGCTGCTAAGAGGAGAATGGGCCTGGGGTGCTTGGGAGGGCGGCCCACCCCTCTCTTATGGAGATGCTGGGTCTAAACCAGCAACCCTGAGATGTTAAATATTAATTACAAACTGATAAGAGCAACACCACCTGGTGCTGTGTCACAGAGAGGGGAGGGAGCGGAGGGGAGACGTATCTGGGTTCAGGGGAAGGAGAATACTACATCCCAAAAAGGTCCCACTGAGGCAGCCGGACTTTGGTCCTGTTTCTCAGAAATGTCCAGATCAGGCTTTGGGACAGGCAGGTGATGGGGGCGCTTGCCCCTCAGGAACCCCACTGGGGCCCTCCCCTCCTTATGTCTCATCTTCCAAGAATCCAAACCAGCATGGAAAGTTCTTTCTCTTGAGGCCAAAAAGCACTAGGTTTGAGCTCTGACCATCATAGGCTCACTGGGGGCCCTTGGGTGGGTCCCTTCTCTCTAGGCCTGCTTTCTCATCACAGGGGTCATCTGAGATGCAAATGACACAAAGGCAGTGCCGGTCCTGGAAGCACAGAGCAAGGGCCCTTTTCCTACAGGGGAGCAGATGTGGGGCAGGAGGGAGTGGAGGCAGGCCTGGGGGCTCCATGCAAAGGGGTCCCCTGAGAATGTCAACACCCCCAAAACAGCTTCTACTTACAACCTTGGGGAGAAGGTCCCACTTGTCTCTGCACCCTGTTTCCAGAAAGCCCTGTAACCTCATTCTCGCTTCCTCCACCTGACAGTCTAGGTCCTCTGACTGGGCCTGGAGCATCCTGAGGAAATCAGGATAATTTGAGAAAATTCCCGGTCTTCAGCTAACCTGAATTGGGGCAGTAAGTTCAGTTTAAAAAAAAATCACAACAGGAAATAGCTGCCATTTATTGGCACTGCCCATGAGCCAGGTGCTATTAAGCACTTTCCAGACGTTGTTTCATTTCACCCTCACCACCACCCTGTGAAGTAGGTGTATCCCCATTTACAAATGAGGGAACTGAGGTTTTGAGCACTGAGTCATTCGCTTTCAGAGGCCTGGCCCTGACTGTGAAGTCACACAGCTGGTAAATGGTGAGGCTGAAATTTGAACCCAGATGGGCTGAACCCGAGGCTGAGTTTCCAAAGTTGTGAAGTCAGTACTGTTCGTTGGTTGTGTCTCCTTCAGGGGCCCCATGGCCCCATGTTCCTTTCAAACCCTGCTCTCAGGATGGGGCCTGAAACTCCTTTTCAAGCCGACAGAAAAGGCTTATGTGATCTCCCTCCCTGGTAGACCTGCATTTTGCTTGGGCTACAGCATTTAGTAGAGGAATGAAGTTGAAATGGAGCAACTCCAGGCAGCCGCCTTGGTTGGGAATGAGCCCCAGGCCGCACCCCTCCGTGGAGTCTTGCCATCGCGCTGCCTCTGGCCTTGGCAGAAGTGCAGGTTGTTCTGGTTCTGCCCGGCCTGCTACGAGGCATTCTTTTCCAGGCTCCTTTTCTCACCTGGGGAATCACAGGGGAGGCAGGACTTCGCTCTCCATCGACCTAGATTATGAAACTGGCCCGGAATGGGGCGAGGAGAGGTAGGCTCCTGGAGAAGCTTGTGTCCAGCTTGAGCCCTGGATCTCCGGGAGGTCTCCCTGCATTAACTCCCCGCACCCTGACTGTCCCGCCCTGCCCTGCAGAGCTCTGCGTACACACACTCACTGGCACACACGCTCTTGCACATGATGTACTCCAGCATCTCCCGGTCCGGAGTTCTCATCGCATCTCTTGCTCCAGCCATGGCAGGGGCCCAGTGCCCCTGCTTCCTTCCTCTGGTTCTCTCAGCAGCACCCACCTGAGGCTGGGCTGTGTTCGCAGCACCGTTGGGTTGGGATTGGCCACAGAGAATAAGAGGTTGGGTTGGGGGTGAAGAGAAAGCCCCAGGCCTGTCCTGCTGCCACTCAGGGCTCCCACTGCACAGTCAGGGCCAGGCCTCTGAAAAGAGAGTCCAGCTCTGTGGGCTGCTCCAGGTCTGAGGCCCGAGGGCCTGTGCTCTTGGCCTCAGTCTCGGACACTGGACCCTCGTCCTTGGAACACATGAGGGACTCCAGCAGGCCCCAGGGACTGGAAACCTGGTCCATGGGAGAACACGAGGGGGAAGGAGTCTCCAAAGGGAGGGACACCGGGTGGCCCTCGATCTGGACAGAGGAGAGGAGGGGCAGCTGGCCCTTCAGGTACCCCTGTGTCCCTGGCTCCCCCTTGTGCAACACGTTAGTGTCAGGTGCTCTGTCCATGTGGACACACAGGTGCTGGTGGAAGGATTTTGCTTCTTGGGGCTCCTCCATAGTCGTGGAGGCCATCCCCTGCAGAGAAAGGTCACCTGTGATGCAGCTGTCAGCTGGTGGCTCTTTCTGGAGCTGGCCCTTAGTCCTGAGGTGTTTGGAACTAGAGAGTGTCCCAGGAGGGGAGTCTTTGCCAGAGCCTTCCATGCACACTCCATAGGAAGGAGGCCAGCTGTCCGGACTGGCCTGAGGGGTGTAGGAAGAGACGGCCTGTGGGGTGTAGGATGGGGCTTTAGCTTTGGGGGTGACTTGAGGTGTGTAGGATGGGGGCCTGACCTCAGAGGCAGCCTGGGGAGCGTAGGACAGCGGGGACGGTGTCTGCTGAGGTGGCATCCTGGAGGGTTGGAACACGATGTCCGACTGCTCAAGGTAGGTGATCTTAGATATGTTGTGCAGCGGTGGGGCTCCTGGGGGCTCCCTGGGCCCAGAGACCATGACTTGGGAGTACTGGCCAGGTTGGGCCAGGCTGCCGGGGCCGCTTAGGTCAAGGACAGGAATCAGGACGTGCTCCTGGATGAACCGCAGAGGCTGGAAGGTCAGTACACGCTGGATGTTCTGCACAGGGACAATGACAGCCACCATCAGGGCCCATTCTCAGCTCGCCGGGGGCGCCCAGGGTGAGTGAGGTCCTCCGGGGGGAGGCAGAGGTGTGGGGGAGGCCATCAAGGGCTTTTCATGATGCATATCCCACATGTCCCCTTCGCCTCCCAGAGATCCCTCTAAATGCCAGGGCTCTTGTGAGGGACAGGGCTGCCAGCCCTGCAGTTGGGGGCCACTCCCAAGGTCTGGGTTATCCCAGGAAGAGGGATTTCGGCTGCAGTTTCTCCAGGAGGTATATGACTTAGGTTTGGGGTGGCCTTGGGCTATGCTCTAGAGGTGGGGACCCACATTACTGCTTTGGGGCCCCCCCAGACCTCTCCCCCACCCCCCGGCCCAGGCGGGGCTACTCACCAGGGAGTTGGGAGGCGGAGGAGGCTTGGTGACGTATCTGTAGCTCAGGTAGCAGAGCCCCGCGACCAGAAAGCCCATGGCGAACAGGAAGGCCCCTGAGAAGGAGTAGGTCCACGTCGGGTCTGCGTGAGCAAAGGGGCCAGAGCACGGGGGTGAGGCTGGTGCAGGGCTGGGCCCATCCCGAGTGTGGATGCGACACTCTCAGGGCTCCTCCTGCCCCAGGCCAGGCCAGGCCAGGCCAGGCCAGGCCAGGCCAGGGAGCCTCTCCTACCCGAATGTTCGCCGGTCCAGCGAGAGCACAGGGAGAGGGCCCCTCACCATGACTAAATATTCAGAATTTGTCAGTCGCATTTTCACGCTGTAATGCAAATATGCTCTATGCTCCCACCTTGACAAACGCACTTTTCATAACAGCCTGGAAGGCCTGGTTCGAAGCCTGAGGTGTTGGACGCCTTGGGGAGCTGTGCTGACAAGTGGAGGTGCGGGAGAGCCTGCCATAGGCCCCTAGCCCACCTGGCTCCATCTCACAGTGCCAGGGGCCTGGAGCACAGATAAGGACCCCCCAGCCCACGTGGCCAAGCTCATCCATGCCCCCAACAGATAGCCAACTATGGGCCACCCTTTGTGCCGAGGGTCTGCACGGCAACAGAGTGTCTCCCTTCAGGAGAAAGGACTCAAGGGAGGGACCTGCCCAGAGTGGACACAGGCTTGGGGCACCTCTAGAGGGAACTTTGGGGTCTGAGGTACTCAGAGTGTGGTCTAGAAGGGGGGTAGGTCACAGGCTCCAGGGGGACTTGTCCACTTGGACCTAAGGACTCTTCATCTTGTTGGGAGGGCCACAAGGCTCTTGTCTGGCACAGAGGACAGCCCTGCCTCCCTGGCAGGGGTGGGAACTGACAATGGGAAGGGCCTGTCCTCCCCACCCCCCTACCAAGGTAAAGGGCTGGGTATCGGGGAAGACCTTGCTCAGAAGGCAGCTGGGAGACACTGCTTTTTCTAAAAGGGACAGGAATGGATACTGAAGCCTTTAGCCGAGCCTTCTCCAGATGGTCCCCTGTCTCTGGGATGGGCACAGCCAGTTCTTGGCATGTCACACTTCCTGTCACCAACCCAAGTGGGACTGGTGAGGGGCTTGGTAAAGAAGAATTAAGTGGATTTTGTTGTTGTTGTTGTTAAAACTGGCAATTTGTATTACCCAGGGGTCTTGACTCTCCAAGTCACCCTCCTATTCCCAGCCCCCGTGTGGCTTCAGCTGGAGGCACTGCTCACCAGCTGCCAATGACCTTGGCAGTTGCTGTGAACGCTGTGGGCAGGGACCTCTGCTCCTAGCCCCCTCCTTGCCCTTCCCCCAGCCCCGTGGCCTCTCTGGGTCAGCTTCCCACCTCAGTGATACCCTGTCCCCTGTCACTCGATACCCCCAGCACGGCTCCAGGGAGAAGACATGACCTGAATGTCTCTACGTGACATAGCTAATGGAAAACCACTGCTCCTTGTACCAAGACAGGACAGGGACATGGAACATTCCCACATGCCATTTCACCCACGAGGAGGCAGGAAGAAATAATAGAAATTACACTAGAGTGTGGGGTATTAGATGTCTGGCTCAGCTCTGATATGCTGAGTGTCCTTCTCTCTGCTGTACAACCCTCTCTGGTCTACCATTTATTAATAACAGTAACGAGCAATTATTGAATTCTTAAAATGTGCCATGCACTGTGTGAGGTGCTCTACTTATGTTATCTTATCAAACACAAAGAGCCAGGGATGCTCCCTTCATATAAATAATGAAGCTGAGTCTCAGAGAGGTTAAGTGACTTGACCAAGGTCACACAGCTATTCGGTGGAAAATCCAGGATTGACATATATAACTCAAAAGCGCATCCTCATAGACCTGACATAAGGATGGCTTGGTTTCCTCATCTGTAAAAATTGGATGTGGGGTGAGATGACCCCTAGAGTACTGTCCAACATCAAGATCCTGGGATGTTGCTCTGTGACCCTCCCAGATATTCTGAGAGGTGGATAAAGTGGAGATTCTGGGCTCTGGGGATAGGACAGACCCCAGGATACTGGGTCAAGGGCAGGACATATCACTCTGAAGTGGCAGTAAGAGGAATAAATGTGCAGTAGAGGCAATTAGCTGTAAACAGAATTGCAAAGGGGTGGTTAGAGCTCAGCCTTCAGGATCAGATGAACCTAACTAGGTTTACTGACCAGCTGTGTGGTCACCTTCAAGTTGCTTACCCTCTCTGAGCCAGAGTTCCTCCTCTGTAAAATGGGGGTGAGACCACTCATCTTGCAGGATTGTTATAAAGATTAAATGGGATAATATAGGTAAAGCATTTAACACAGTGCTTGGCAACAGAGTAGGTATTTAATAAATGGTAAGAATTATCGTTAATACACTTTCTTTTCAAGGATAAGGTGCCTTCTCTATACCAGCAGGAAATAGCCAACAAGAAAGGTGATTTATATAAAAGCAGCTTCAGTCTTAGGAAAAAATGGTATCACATCATGAGCCAGATCATGAAAGAACAAGCCAACAAGCATGTTGTATAAAAGCAGGGTGGGGGAGGGGGGCCAGGAGTGGATGAGATTTGTCTAGTTTGGTACAGGGGAGGGGTCATGAGCCACCTATACGTGCCCAGCTTAGTGCCTGTAACACTGATTTCCTTCCTCTAGCTTTCCTCTTGCCAAGGTCTATTCTGGTCTCCTAGGTGGCCCTGTCCCCAGGAAGGGCATGTCCTGTGCACACGGCCAGCGCTGGCTGTTTCACCAGGCAATCTTCCCCTGAACATTAATGCACTGTGGTGGAGAAATCAGTCTCTTGTGGGCTCCTGGAGCAATGGATGAGCTGAGTTTCTGAACAAAACTGAAGCCTAGAACCTACCTGGTGATGATTCTCCAAGCCACAGTTTTACCCAGGGCCCACCCTTGCAGCCACCCCACCTCGGTTCATTAGAACAGAAATCACCTACTGACACCATTCATCTAAACGAGATGACTACGGGGGAGACTGGCTTTCCAAATCCATCCAACCCCCCATACTGCTTTCATTCTCTGAACATCTGTCTATGAAAATAAACGCTAATAAAAATATCACAGTGCTTATGATGAGAGTTGAGTTTCAGAGTGCCAGAGGACGGGAGTGTGGGACACCATCTCGCTGAGCCAAGGACTCAAAGCTATTTCTATAGTAGCCCAAGGGTGTGACTGTGGTCTCCAGAATTAGACCCTGTTCTCTTTCTCACCACCTGTGTGACCTCAGGTAAGTTACTCAGCCACTCTGAACTGTCTCCTCATCTGCAAAATGAGGATGGTAATAGGATTGCGTTCAGTAGCGCCTGGTCCCTGGTTGGCGGAAATGCTAGTTGTCATTGCTGTTGTTATTATCTGACTCTGCAAGATACGGAGGGATTTTTTATCTTCTCTGCTCGCCCCCCTGCAGATTATCTCCCAGGATATCTCACCTGGGTTAATATTAAGGTGCAGTTGCTTTGCGGGGGTACACACTAAGCTTGCTAGAGAGAGGAAATCCGGACACAGGCTGGAGCGAGGAGATTAAACATGTGCTGTGATAACTCATAAGCGAACAGGTTTATGGACAAACAAAGATCGACTTTAATAATACGTTAATAACCCCTTCGTCGTTTTTCAGGGCACTGCCCAGCCTCACCTTGGTTACAGGGAGGAAAGCACACAGTCAAGGCTTCGATTCAGGAGTCCCCCCCCCCTCTGGCTTCAGCCAAACTTACCTGGCAGTGTCCTCACACGGCACACATAGGGGGCACTCTCTTTGGACCAGGTTGGAACAAAAATTGTGATGGTCCCAAGGAACTCCGTGTCGGGGGTCAGGCCAACGAACTCGTATTCCCTCTGCTTTCCTCCAAGGTGCTGGATTTGACAGAGAACCCAGGGTGACTCCTCTTACACACCCTCCACGCGGAGCTCAAGCAAGCCTGCTCACACCCCTGCTGGGTTACGGCGCTTAGTGCAAGGACTCCACCAGCCCCCAACCAGAAACTGGGGGGTCAGTCTGCAGTGCTCCATTCCCGGTCCCCTGCCTTCTGCTTTACCCCCAGTCCAGGCAGTCACCAAGCTCCACGCACCCTCGCTTAGAACAGTGCCTGGTACATAGCAAGCGCTCAATAAACACTAGCTTCCGTCATCGCCACTGCCCCATCAACACCATCATATGCACCATGGCCACCATCACCATCACCATCACCACCACAACTCTCACCACCACCCCCTCAGCCCCACCACCATCACCACTGTCACCATCACCACTATCATGACCGCCACCACCACCACCATGAATTTATTGGAGGCTAGAGTAATCATGAATGTGTATGTGCTTGATAATAGAGTTGCGAGTTCAAGGAGAAGTAGACAGTTCCACAGTCACAGCTGGAGACTGTCACACTCCGAGCAGTTAAAAGGACAAGCAACTCCTCCCGAGTGGGGAAGGGCAGAGGAGGCCTGGCTAACACCCCTCGCCTCCTCCATCTAATTGTTATGTGTGGCTCACTCCACCGAACGACTGCCAGGTACACGTTCCCTTCAAGTGCACATGGAACATTCGCCAGGATAGGCCATGTGCTGAGCCATAGGACAAGTCTCCATGAATTTATAAGGACTGAAATTGCACAGAGTTTTTTCTGACCACAAACTGAATTAAATTATGAATTAATAACATTAAAATATTCAGTAAATCCTCAAATATTTACCCAAAAATAGTTGTGATAAGAACTCTCCCTGCTCAATAATCTCAAATTGCTCCCCCTGACTACTGAGATGATTCCTCCACCCGCCGTCCCGGACCTATGCAGCATGGCCCCAGCCTGTCTTCCTGGGCGTATCTCCCATGGTTCCTCTCCATCTATCAGTGGTTCTCAAACTTCAGTGTGGGCAAGAAGCACTTGGGTGCTCACTAAGATTCAGATCCTAGGGAGCAACTAGAGAATTCGATTAAATAGATTGGAAGGGGGAGCATTTTTTATTTTATTTTATTTTTTGGTTAATCTTCACCCGAGGATATTTTTTGCTTTGATGTTTAGAGAGAGTGAAAGGGAGGGAAGGGGGGGGGGAGAGAGAGAAAAACATCGATGTGAGAGAGACACATTGATTGGTTGCCTCCTGCACATGCCCCAACTAGGGCTGGGGATCGAACCCGCAATCCTTCAGTACACAGGCTGACACTCTAACCATTGAGCAGCACTGGCCAGGGCGGAAGGGGGAGCATTTTAACAAATGCTGTAGGAGATTCGGATGCCCCTGGCTTGGGACCCTGTTTTGAGAAATTGTTCTGCATGGCCTCTTGCTCCAGGCAAACCGGGCAGTTTTGTGCTTTCCAATAACATCCTAAGTTTTTCTGCTCCTCTCTCTGATCACAGCGGGGCAGTGTAGGCCAGTGGGGACAATGTGGGCTTTGAACAGGGCTGGGTTTGAATCTTGACTAGGCTATTATTTGCTGAACAATCTTGAGCAAGTGACTTAACCTCTCTGAGCCCCTGTTTTCTCATTCAGAAAATAGAGGAGGTAATAGCACCTTCCACACAGGGCTTGGGTGAAGATTAAGTGATATCATAAACATACATTATCTGGGGCACCTCAGAAATCGGCATTGGCACCAGAAAGTTTTCTGTTTCAGAAATCTTTCCCAATTTCTCTGCACTGCCGTCTCCCCTCTCTCTTGCTGGCCTCTGCTCTGCCTCACACAATACCCTTATTTCCTTCTACCTATACCTGTCCGAATTAATGTTTAAATTCCCTTCCTACCCACTACATAATAAACTCCTCGAGTGCAGAAACAGTCATTCAATGGAATTATTGATTAATTGCACATGCTGGGGGGAAGGAAATACCACATATTTTTCTGAATACAAAAAGAAAGAACTTGTATATTGTTTGACAGTTCATGCCCTTGCTGTTCATCTTTTTCATTATTACTGATATTAAGACCCTGCTTGTATCCAGTTCCTACAAATAGTAGAGACCCAGCAAAAAGAACAGAGGTGGTAGCAATTGATTCCAGCATTTTCTGAAGTAGATATTAATAGAGGTTGTGCACCAGGATGTTGGAAGGCACTAGGCAAAAAATTATGAGAAACAATAAATATTGTGCAAAATAAAAGGTCAAATGCATTTGAGAGAAGTTTGCATTAAACAAATTGGAACTGGAGTCTTGGCTTTGCAGGACTTGTCAGGGACTTTAGCATGCTATTGTGTGTGTGACTCCACTAGGGAGAGGCTGTGGACATGCTTCGGGAAATGCTAACTTATATAACACATCTCCTTCCTACTTAAAGCAACGCAGATCTAGTTGAGAGGGGAATGGATTTCCCAGGCAGGGAAGGACCAGGGCGGCACATACACTTGCCATTTATTTACCATTTGGTAGGTTTTGTTGACCTGGAGGTCTAAGCGGTAGAACAGGTCATGGAAGATGTCCTCCAGGGTTAGCCGGTGGCCATTCCCTGCGTGGAGGGGCGTGGAGGTGGGATGGACAGTCATCTGGATGGATCTCACCTTGGGGACACAGGTCACATCAGGTGGTTTGATGGTAGCTGGAACAAGGGAGAGAGAAAGGAAAAGAAAAAGATCAGAATTAGCCAGCAGCGGGAAGTGGCTGCTTCCCTACTCCTCCCACTCCAGGCCCAGCTCTGCTTCTTAACGCCTCAGTGAAACAAATAGATGAGAGGAGTTCTGCCAGCGACCGGTGTTTGGGTTTCAGGCTGGCAAAGGGGTGACCAAAAGTGAGTAGGAAGATCTCAGGGAGAGGGACACTGCCCCCCTAGGGGGTCGATCGTGCCCTTGGCCCAGCCCCCACATATCCTGGGCCCTTCACCTCACCTTGAGTCTGCCTGGATCACTTTTCCCCCTAGCCTATTGGCAATGACAGCTTTGGGGACTGATGACAGTTCAGTGACATATCCTAAGTAATGTTTGGGGTGCCCAATATTATTGATTCAGCCTTAATAGCTCAGGCCTAAGAGTTTAGTCTTTCTCCAGATGGAACTTTCTATTTTTATTGTTGTTATTGTTAATCCTCGCACAAGGATATTTTTTCCATTAATTTTTAGAGAGAGTAGAAGGGAGGGAGGAGAGAGAAGCATCGATGTGAGAGACACATTGGTTGGTTGCCTCCTGCACGTGCCCCCACCAGGACCTGGGAAGGAACCTGTAACCCGGCTACGTGCCCTTGACGGGGAATCGAACCCGTGACCCTTCAGTGCTCTGGGCAATGCTCTAACCGTTGAACCACGCTGGCCAGGGCCAGATGGAACTTTCTAAATAACCAAATGACTTTGACTGGTTTACAGGCCCCTTTGGGAATTGGATGGATCCTACGGCTCTTCTCTCCTCCAAAATGTACACATACAAAAATCTTGCCCTCAGTTTCAGGGATTCATGAACCTCACTCCCCCTGAAGCTAATTAATAAAAAACGCTCAAGGGTCCATTAACTTCCAAGATTAAAAACATCTGCGCCACAAGAACGGTCACTTCAGTGTTGTTTATAAAATTGAGAAACTGAGTTAAATGTCTTCAAAAGTGAGTTAGGGGCGTAAATCAGAGTACCTCTATAGCATGGATCATTTTTAGCAGTGAAGTAGCATGTTACGGAAAAATATTTAATGAGCGTGAGCAAATAAATGTGCAGGACACCACTGTATGAAAAACAAACAGCCGGGTTACAAAGAGTAGATACAGTTGCTAGCAACGGCAGCTACGCTGAAGTGTTCAGATTACGTGGGGCTACTTTTATTTTTCTCTGTGCATTTCTATATTTTCCTGAATTTCTACAATAAACATGTATTCATCGAATGAGACAAGAAAAAATCAAATAGCTTGTTTACTTTAATTTTTAATTTTCTTAAAAAAGACACACATGTGGTTGTCGAGTCAGTTAGTGAACGTCATCATCGGCTTCACTTGTGTGGGGAGTTTGGCAACAAATATTCCTCCCTCCCTCCCTTCCTTCCCTCCTCAGTGACGTATCGAGCATCTCCCATGTGCCAAGCACCACGCTAAGGGCTGGGGTACAGTGGATTCCACACCACCCACGCCCTCACGGAGCTCAGGTGTCAGCCGGGGAGGCGGAGGACAGCCAGGTAAGCAGACACTAGAACTGCAGGCTGGGATACGAGCTATGGAGACAACGCACAGCTGATGTGACAAAGAATACCAGGCGGTGACCTGGTAACATCAGGTTGGGGCCTGGGAGTGGGGACCCTCACTTAGGAGGTGATGTTGAAGCTGAGACCAGACTCAGGATTGGGAAAGAGCCCAAGTTCGGAGGCCTTGGTCGTAGTGGAGGGAAGATGAAGGGGGTCTGAACTGGGGAGTTTGGGGTGGAGGTGAGGGCGAACCACCACACTGGGGACCCTCTCCATCAGGACGCCTTCCCTAGGAGCCACATCCTGAACAGCACCCCGAGGCTGAAGGCAGAGCCCTCCTGGGCCGTCCTGGCCGCCCCTGTAATGAGGAGGCTCCTACTCACTGTGCTGCAGCGAGCTGAACCGGTCTGTCATCTTGGTGGCGGAGCGGCCTCCCGCGCTGGTGGCCGTGACCCGCGCGTAGTAGAGCTCGGAGACGCTGGCCGTCTCCAGGGTCAGGTTGCAGAATTTCCGGGTGATCCGCTGGCAGCCCTGCTTCGCCAGCCACTCGATCTCTCCGTACCTGCAGGCAAGGGAGGGGCCGGAGCACACCTTCAATGAGCAGGCCTGGTGTCAGGCCTGTGGTTTATTAATAATGATAACGATAGCTAATATTTACTCAGCAGGCCCTGTGTTCCAGGCCTTTTATGTGGATGATTTGTTAGTTCTCGCATTGATCCCCTGAGGCTCAGGCATTATCCTCTCTCCTTTTCAAATAAGGAAGCTGAGGCTTACAAGTAAATTATGCCCAGGTGCTTGAAGCATGCCTTCAGGGAGCCAGGGCTTGAACCCAGCCGGTCCGAAGCCACATTCTGGCCTCATCGTCACCATAACCCTTTGAGGCGGGCACTATTATCCCCACTTTACAGATGAAGGAACCGAGGCTCAGAGATGGGGAGTGACTTGCCGCAGGGTAAAGTGGCAGGACCAGGGAAGAAGCCCAGATTTGCAGATTCCTGAGCGCATGCCAACCCTCCTTCTCTGCATGGGAACAGGGACATAGGCTGGATGGCGTGGGCACAACTTTGTGTTGATCTAATCTCACCAGTAATAATAACGATTTGCCAGGCACCGGTGCCAATGACTATCTTATTGACTCCACCTAACGACCTTATGATGAAGGCACGATCTCTATCCTTACTTTATGGACGGGGAAACTGAGGCTTGGTGTGGTTGCCCAACTGCCCCAGGTTATATAGTTGAGAGCTGGCGTTCAAGCCAGAGCCCATACTTCTAACAATTATTTCATGCTCCCTCTGCAAAAGAACCAAAGGAGCAGAGCTATATTGGGGGTATAACAGTAGTCGGGGTGGGGGTCCTGGGGCACCTGGAAGGGGGCATTTTCTTGGAAGGGTTGGTTTCAGAGCAGAGTCAGAAGAGGTCATGTTGGGAGGGAAGCCTACGTCTTATACTCGACACTGTAGACTGTGTCTGGGGCGCTGTCCAGCCCGCTGTCCCAAGTCAGGATGTTTTCGAAGTTGCTGGACTGGAATTTCACGTGCTGAAGGAGATCCGAGGCGTCCTCAGCAATGTGAGCTGCAGGGAGTGGGAGCAGGGTGAGCGGATGGGCTGGTGGACCCCGCCCCCAGCACAGACCGCCCAAGGAGGGGGTGAGACGGCGCACCCACCCGCTCAGCAGGGGCTGTGCTCACTGACCGTCGCTGCTCTCCTTCACTTAGCTTCCTTTTTATCAAGCTAAAATTCACATTCCATGAAAGTACCATTTAAAGCATATATTTCAGTGGGTTTTTAGTATATTCAAAAAATTGTGCAGCTATCACCACTCCTATCTAATGCCAGATCATTTCCCCCCCCGAAAAGAAACCCTGTGCCCATTAGCCTCCCCTCCCCCGGCCTTAGATGGCCACTCATCTGCTTTCTGTCTCTGTGGATTTGCTTATTGGACTTTTCATGTCAAGAGAGTCATACAGTGTGTGGCCTTTGTGTCTGGCTCCTTTCACTTAGCAGAATGTCTTCAAGGTTCATCCACGTTGTAGCACGAATCAGTGCTTATTTCCTTTTTATGGCTGAATGATATGCCCTTGAATGGATATACCACATTTTGTTTATCCAGCCATCAGTTGATGGACGTGTGTGTTGTTTCCACTCTTTGGTTATTGTGAATGTGCCTGCTGCGAGCATTTATACACACGATCAAGGGGACATATGTCTTCAGTCCTCTTGCGTGTATAGCTAGAAGTGGAATAGCTGGGTCATATGGTAACTCTATATTTAAGTTTTTGAAGAACTGCCAAACTGTCTTCCAAAGTGGCTGCACCACCTTACATTCCCACCAGCAATGCCTGAGTGGTCCAATTAGCCCACATCCTTGCCAACACTGGTTGTCACCTCTCACTCACTTCTGAACACCATTGGAAGCCGGCGTCCTCCCATATAGTTTAGAGAAAGTCAACTAAGATGTCTAAGTAGCTTGCCCAAAGTCAGTAACCTCAATCATGGATGGAGCAGATGTTTGTAAGTCCCTGCCTCTCTGCCGGCCAGACCAGTCCCTGTGCACCCACTATGTGCCTTCTTAGGAAGGCAAAGGCTCTCCTTGAAGTCAGAACTGAACGGTGGCTTCTGGTGGGGTGGTAAGGTCAAGGGCTGGAGAGAGAGAGGTTGGGATTTGAGAGAAGGCCAGGGCCTGTCTGGGGTGGGCCTAGCCTCCCTTAGTGCAGGGTTAGGGTCTGCAGTGGGAAGATTGCTCTTTGGGATCAGTATCCTGGGCTATCTGGGTTGAGGGGAGGCAGGGGGCTGAGGCTGGGACATGCTCGGGAAGCAATGGCCCCAGTTGGGCGGAGTCTGGCACCACTGCTCAGGAGGGAGCTGCAGCTGGCTCCCTGAAATGGAGCGGGTGGACCTGGTTGGGCCCCCTCTTTTAGGAGGTATCAGGGCTAGCAAGTTCTCCCCTCTCCTCCCACCCACTCGTTTCTTTTGCTCCTCAAATCCATCCTCCGTTCCTCGGCCCGTGTCCCTTCCACACTTCCCGGATGAAAGTCTGCATTGTGAAATCTGGGAAAACATGTGTTGCGGAGACTGACAGACTATATAGATCTTATAAAAGGAAGTTTGCACATTTTTATGAAAAAACGATTTTATGTCAACCAGATGGGAAGCTGAGGAAAACAAACGAACAAAAACAATTCACCGTGCTCTGGAATCAGCCTAAGAAAGCTGGGGTGAGGGAACCCGGGCTCCCTGAGTGACCTCACCGACTCTTAATCTCCTAGGGTCGGCTTCCCCGGCTCCCCTGTCTTAAAGGGCCAGGGGCCTCCGTGACTCCCAACCAGAACGCCTGGGGGTCTGAAGGAACATGTCTTGGTGTCTCTTGAGGATGCATCTTCCTAGCTCATCTAAGGCCCAGTGTGTTGGGCCCGGTGTGGGGGCAGGTGGAGAAGAGACCAGAGGGGCCTGGGAAACACCGTGCGTCTAGTCAGCACCAGCCGGTGAAGCTCTGGCCCTTCGTGGGCTCATCCTGTACTTGAACCACAGGGCCCTGCACAGCCATCTCCCCTCTTCAGCAAAAGCTACGCTTTTACTTCCTGAGAAAGCTCTCTGGATTTCATTAAACTTCTCAGGGAGCAGATACAATCTAGTATCTCACTCATCTGCCTGAAATTTCTCCGTCATGATGAATCAAAACATCCCCCAGCCCCGGCGGGTGGCTCAGTTGGTTGGAGCTTCATCCTGTGCACCATGAAAGGTTGAGGGTTCCAGTCCGGGGCAGGGCATGTACCTAGGTTGCGGGTTTGATCCCTGGACGAGGCGCGTGTGGGAGGCAACCGATCAATGTTTCTCTCTCACATTAATCTTTCTCTCTTTCTCTCTCTCTCTCAAATTAATAAAAGCATATCCTTGGGTGAGAATTTTTTAAAAAAATCCACTGAATTGGATTTGAAAACTATGCACTTGGCCCTGTTTTAAAAGGGCCCGGGTGCTTTAGGACGTATTAATGAGGCAAACCTGGCCACGGTGGGAGGAAATACCTTCCAGATCTGTCAAGAAGGGTTAGAAGAGGCCCCCTTGGAGTGTGGAGAGAGGCAGGGGTTTGTCCACCACGTCCCAGCATGCAGCTCAGCCCCAGCAGAGGAGAAACTGAAACTGGTTGTCCTGGGCCAGGCAAGGTGCAGGGAGATGGGCCCGATCACTAGCTCCCAGGGGAGGTGGGGGCCACAGGGCGATGGGCACTCACCAGCCAGGGATCCCGCAGCCAGGATGGTCAGTAGTGTCCTCATCGGGCCGCCGGGCGCAGAGCCCTCTTCTGGCCTCCACTCCGGGCCGACACTGAGCGAGCGCCGGGAAGGTTTGCCGCCTTGGCAGCTGACTCCACCCGGGCTCAGGGCGGGGAAAGCAGGAGAGGGTGGGACCCGAGCAGTGGGGAGCGGGTACAAAGGTGCCTGGTGTGGGTGCCTGGGAATTCCAGGTCCTGGGTGGGATCCAAGGGAGTTCCTTCTCTAGATGCAGAAAATAGCAATAGTGACATGACAGGCCAGCTTGTTTATCTGGTCCTGTGGCTGATTCATCCCAAGGCTCTTCGGTGGTTATCAGTGAACCGAGAGGCAGAAAAGGCAAAAAGAATCCATAGCACACGGCCTTATCAGAGAGCAATTTGGCACAGGGTATCGAAAGCCTGTAACAGGTGCCCTGGCTGGTTTTGCTCAGTGGTTAGAGCATCGGCCCTCCGACTGAAGGGAACCGGGTTCGATTCCAGCCAAGGGCATGTACCTCGGTTGCAGGCTCGATCCCCGGCCCCAGCCAGGGCACGTGCGGGAAGCCACCAACTGATGTGTCTGTCTCACATCAGTGTTCCTCTCTCTCTCCATTCCATTCTGAAAAAGCAATAGAAAAAAATATCCTCAGGTGAGGATTGAAAAAAAAAAAAAGAAGAAGAAGCCTATAACACATACATGTTGCTCCAGAAATTCCATTCTCAGGGATTTACCTTGAGGAAAATCACTGGACCAGGGAGCAGAAAATGTATTCCAGAATGTTCCTTGTGCCAAGGGAAAAGCAATGATTCCTTGGCTTTGTTCTGGCAGGAGGAGGCATAGGGTGTCTGCTGTCCCTCCTGTGCCCCATATCAAAGCAGGTCCCCATGCTGGATGATGGGATGCGAATAGTCTCCCTCCTAGAGAGATTGCTGGGGTGAGAAGCCAGGGCACTCTCACCTTGAGCCTTTGGGGTCTGGGATCTGCTAAAAGTTGGGGGGGGGGCAGATCTCAAACTTCAGTGACTCTATTGTGCTAAAGATGGGGGCAGAATTCATGAATGGGCCTTTAGTTTGGGACAATGAAGGTTCACCCGAGCTATCGTTCTACCAAGTGCTGTCTCCATAGGGATTAACGTGAAGTTCACTGGAATGGGGATTTAGGAAAGAATTTCCTCAATAGCTTAGGAAATATTTTCTCTTTCTCACTGGGAAAACTGAAGGGGCTTGGACTCTGGTTAGGGTAGACATGACCATAGCTCTCTGTCCCTGGGGAGAGTTTGGCTGACACAGCAGGCTGAGGCCAATAGCAGGAGAGCTGGCTCCTAAGCGAGGCTGTGATAACCAGGGACCTGTATTTAAGCTGTTCTTTCCTGTGTTGTAATTGTTTTCTATCAGCCCTCAGTCTTTGGTAAAGTTCGTTTGACAAAACAGCCAAATTTGAGCTGTGCTTTGGGAGAATTTAAGACTGGCCTGTGCCAGTCATGTCCTGTAATTACAGGACACTACATTTCCCAGACTCCTTTGTCAGCTGCCTTCTGAGAGGTTTGGCCAATGGGGGGCACTGGAGAAAGAAGGGAGAGGTGAAGGAGGGAAGGCAGGGTATTTCTTCCCCTCTTTCTTTGCTTTGAGTGGCATCCCCAGCAACGGCTGTGTGTCGTCTGGAGCTCTAGCTCCCTGCGGCCAGGCAGCCAGCCACCAACATCTTTCTGTCCGGTGGCCAGCTCCTGGTAACAACATCTCTCTATCTCCTCTCCCCTAGTTTTCCCCTTTAGCTCAAAGGGTGGAGCAGCTTCCTGCTTGGATTATTAGCTCTTCCATCATCTGGGTCGCCAACCACCTGTATTAAAGGCCCTTGCATTGAAAGACTTGAGAGGTTTCTGTGCTCCTGAATGGACCGTGATGGATGCAGGGCCTTTGATGACTTCAGTGACAAGGTGGTGTAGGGAGACCATGGCCAGAGAAACAGGTTACAAAGGGAGAGGAACAGTCGCCGGAGCCACGTTGGCTGCCTTGCAAGGAGGACTGATCTGTGGGACACGAAACCGTCCTTGGGGACTCTCAGAAGCCCCTGGAGGGAGAAACTTGATGGAAGAGCTAGATTTCCCATCGTTCTGAGGGACTGTGGTTATGTAGGAGTTATGGGAAGGAAGATACCTGAATTGTTAGAGAACTTGGGAACATGCAGATTTCATTTCTAATAGTAAAAAAACAAAAACAGTCTCCACCTCCAACCATAGGGGTTTGGTTAAATGAGTATGGTACGTCCACCCATCGCAAGATGAAAGCAGCCTTCACACTAATGCTGGAGACAATTGTCCTGCGGCCAGCACTTGTTCTGATGGCTTCTTTCCATCAAGTGGAAAGAAGCACGTCATACGCTTTGTAGAGCACAAGCCTGGGTGAAACACATACGCACCCACGTAGAGAAAAACTCTCGAAAGATCTAATATGAAAATATTAATGCAGTTATCTTTGGGTGGTAGTAGAACTGCAGGCAGTTTTTATTTCCTTTCCTTTGCTCGTCTGCATTTTCTAGTTTTTCTAGGAAATGCTTTGTATTAAGAAAAGGCAAGGTCAATGAACAAAACAAACAGGCGTGAGAGGAGTGACTTTGCGAAGTGTATGATTGCCTGATCACTGTGCTGTGCGCCTGAGATTAAAACAAAATAATATTGACTGTGAACTGTAATAAAAAAAAAGCCGTGCCTTTGTCTGGACTGCACCCTGCTCCTGGAATGCCATGTCCTCTCCCTCAGGCAAACTCCCACTTATTCGAAATCCCCAGAGATGGTTTCTCCTGCTGCGTGATGTTGTGGCAACTCCAGCCCACCACACTTTCACTTTTTAAATCCTTCTAGAGCTCTAGTCTGTGTGCCTTTGGCATTTCCCAGTATTATTCTTCAGTTATGCTCTTGTTTAAGACTGGAAAGGAGAGGCTCAGGTTGGGGCAAGGTGAGACAAGAGGACCAACTTCAAATACCAAAGGGGCTGCCACATGGAGAAGGGTCTAGTCCCCCTTTGAGTAACTGCCTCTAAACAGGAAAACCAGGAGGCCTGTGAGGGGAGAGGCGAAGAAGGCACATTTCTTTGGATGGAAGGAAATAGCACTTCTTCTGATGGCGTGGCCGAAGATGGGCTGCTCTTGGTTGCTGGGGGTCAATTCCATACGTCAGTGAGAGGCTGTGACCACTGTACATGGTCCCTAGGTCACTTTATTCTCTGGCCTCTAAAAGTCCATGCTTCTTGTCTCCCCAGCAAGAGACAAGATGTTCTGAGTGCAAAGAGCACACCTTGTATTTCTCCGCACCCTCCACGTGATGAACACAGAGAACTGTACAGTGTTGACGTGTGGAATTGACCTTTACAGCAGCAGATCCACCTGCTGGTTCTCTCTGGCCGGGACTACCAGGAAAAGCACCTGTTTTCTCTCTGATAAATGTCTCCAACGCACATTGCATTGTCTTGCCTCTGAGCCTTTGTACAAGCTGTACCAGTTGCCCAGAACACCCTTCCCACCCGCCTTTCCCTGTCTGATTTCTGTTCCTTCTTCAGATCTCTTCTCAAATTCATTTCCTCCAGGAAGCCTTGCTTATGTGAGCCACTGATCTGGGCGGGTTAGGAGCCCCGGCTCTGTGCTCCTCCCTCATCTTAGTGTGCATTGCATCATATTATTTTTTCCTTCTGTCATCAGTTATGGGGACCAAGCATGTAACTTGCTTTCTTTGACATCTCAGCAGGTACCTGGTAATGTCTGTTGACTAAATGAGTGAGCTGGGTGAACTGGCCAGGGTTTCGATATTGGCCGTGGGACATCCCTAAGCTGTAGAAAAAACATATCCTAGAATGACAAATACTCAGGAATGTGACCTGCTCCTGTCCCTTCTTTCAACACACAGGGACCCCAGGGCCTGTTCTGCAGAAGCAAGAACATTGACAGTGGGGTGTGCTTGGGGGGAAGGGGAGTGCTATGCCGTCTCTGTGGTTGGTGGCACAGCAGTGAGAGAGCCTGATGGGGGTCCCTGATCACTCACGGATGGGGAGGGCAAGGAATGAAGCTTTGGCAACCAGCCCCAGAGCCTCTTCTTAGAGAAAAGCCTGAGAGCCAGACTCACTTTGGAGTCTCCAAGCCTAGGCTGTGTCAGCCAGGGACACGGACTTAGCTGTTCCACGTTGGGATCCTGGCTCTTGCCCTTACCTTGCACCTGACTCCAAATGACCTTGGCTTGGTCTCATCTCCTCTCTGGGCCTCAGTTTTTCTGTCTGTAATGGAGGCTCGGTCTAGAAGTCCCCTAATGGCCCTTGGAACTTGAATGGCTTCTGTTTTTATGTCACTTTGGGGTTGGAAACCTCTCCTGACATTGCAGAATTCCCTTCATGGCTATTGTTGGTGACACAAACACAAATTCAGCTCAGCAGTTATTATTTTTAAATATGCCTTATTGATTTTAGAGAGAGGCAGGGAGAGGGAGAGAGATTGAAACGTCAATGATGAGAGAGTCATTGATCGGCTGCCTCCTGCACGCTCCCCACTGGGGATCGAGCCCACAACCCGGGCATGTGCCCTGACCTGGAAATGGAACCGCGATCTCCAGGTGAGCTCAGCAGTTATTGACTCTGCTTATCATTTCAGCTCTCTCAGAGTAAGGAGTTCTTGAAGCTTATTACACGCTTATAAGACTACGCTTCTTCATAAAATCATTAAGAAGACCCCACGTCTCATGCCAGGATTGGGGGAGCAGTTTCACAGGGGCCCTGGGAGGCAGGCAGTGAACAGGATTGGGCTTTGGGCAGCAGGCCCAGTTTTGAGTCCTGGCTCTGCCACTTGCCCAGGGTGCAGGTCGCTTCACCTCCCCCTCAGCTTTCTCAGCCACAAAAGGGAAGTAATCGTCTCCGCTCCTGGGGTTGCTGGAGGGTTAAAAGCAGCTGATGTCTCCCCAGTTTCTGAGGAGGAGGCTTCCTGCTGCACGTCTCCTCTGTCACAAGACAAGGAACCAAGTCCAAGAGAGGTCCCTTGAAAACTCTGGGGAAACCCCACACTCCTGGGTGTGTCGGGGTGGGGATGGTGGGAGGGGCAATGAGGACAGCGATAAGTGTCCCCTTAGAAGTCTGAGCTGACATTA